ATCAACAGATAGGTCCGTAGCATCGGTCCATTGTCACATCTGTTGTCCTTATTAACTCGACAGTTGTTGCGCCTCTTTCATTGCTACGTCTTAAATGTCTGATTCCGGCACCAGTGGTGGCCGCGGTTGTAATTTTGGTGATGGCCGCCGTGGTGGAACTCGCGGCAACAGTGATGCTCGTGCGAATGCAGCGTTTTCTAGTGGATTCGGTGATTCGTTTGTTGCCGGTTCTGTTGGTTCTTCAAATGTTAGTGGAGTTTTAAGTGAATCTGATCGTCATGCACTCGGCGGTTTAACCAATGAACAATGGGCTCACTTTGTGTTTTTGGTTAATTCTGCTAAACAAAATAATCCCTTGTCTGGTACGTGTAGCTTGTTTGATTGGATGTACGACAGTGGGGCAACTCATCATATGACAGGGTTCTTGGAGTTTATTTCCGATGTTCGGGATATTCCCGACCGCCCTGTTCAATTGCCTAATGGTTCTTTGACTATGGCTAACAAGGCTGGAACTGTTTATTTGGGACCTCATATCACTCTTTATGATGTTTTATACGTTCCCAGCCTTCGGTGCAGTTTGATTTCATTATATCAATTGCTGGATCGTTCCAACTGCACCGCACAGTTTACTAGCAAATTCTGTGTTATTCAAGACCGCACTTCGCAAAAGGTGATTGGCGCGGGTGAGCAGTTAGGCGGTCTCTACTTCTTTCGAGGGACGGTTTCGACGGCAGTTTCTTGTGTTCGAAAGGTTTCTGCCGATGTGTGGCATCAACGTTTGGGTCATCCGTCTGCTCAAGTATTGTCCCAGGTGCCTGTTATTGATTCGAGTTCTCGTAATTTGCATAAATCATGTGATGCTTGTTTTCGTGCTAAACAAAATCGACGTAGTTTTCCTCTCAGTCAGACTGTTAGTCATGAGACTTTTCATTTGATTCATTGTGATTTGTGGGGTCCGTATCGTGTTCCGTCCTTCTGTGGTGCACGGTATTTTTTGACTATTGTGGATGATTGTTCTCGTGGGACATGGGTTTATTTATTGAATGATAAGACGGAGGTTGCTTCCACATTGCAGAATT